TTTACTATTCTAACCAGCAATAGTAGTTCATACACAAATTTAACCTCTTTAGCTCAGCAAAATAACATATCTACTATTCTAACCAGCAATAGTAATTCATACACAAATGAATACACTGCAAAAACCTACTAATTTGTTATCAGATGGTTAGAAAAAAAGCTTTGTTTCCCCCGCCCCCACATACACATATGCCATAAAACCAGGAAAAAAGAAAACAACTCCTATTTTTAAAAACTAAAATCTGAAACTACACAGAAGCAGTGGGGGCAGGAGGGGTAGAGGGAAGAGATGGCAAGAAATAAGATTTCAACTGAAGATACAGGTGTTTCTGGAGAGAATGAAAGAAATTATTGATGAGGGGGACAGAGCACCCCTATATCCTCTTCTGTGAGGAAGAGTTAAAGTTGCATGTATAGCCAGCTGTGGTGGACTTGAACATGGTGCTAGCATTCCAGCAGAAGATTAAGGCTGAGTGGCTTCCGTAAGGACACTCTGCCATTTGCTGTTTCTGACGTGTTGTGAGACTCATCATAGCCACATCTGTAGCTGACCGTAGTAATTGATGCACATATCCGCAGACCTCCCTGCGTTTGCTGTCAGTTGCACTTAGCAGTTGCCTGGGAGTCTCTTACATCAAAGCTCAGTGTTAATGGCTCTTCTGTGGGCTTAGTGAATAGTTGCAACTCTGGTTAGAATTTCCTGTTAAGGAAGGACAAAGCTCTACTGTGCATTCTTTCCATATTTTTTTTACCAGGGCAGCAAACACTTTGGTCCTGCTCTGCCTCTGCTTAGTATACCAGCAAAAACAAGCCCTTTGGCTGCTTTTTGATAATTCTGTAATAAACTTGTTAATTAAGGATGGAAGTACCGGCTCTTTACTGTAAGTACATGTCTCTGTGTTGGGAACACCACACAGAATCAGATGTGCACATGCATAATACAGCATCTGCAATGACCTGCTGTAGAAAACAGTTAAAAGAGGCTTCTCTGCTTGATGGGGTTTAAGTCACTGCTTTAGAAACATAGAAACAGCGTGAGCCAGAAGGGGCCTCCCAGGCCATCTAGTCTAACCCCCATCTCCAGCCGACTCCACTCATGACATGCCTATCACGTGCATGTCTAACCTATCCTTGAACACCCTCACCGATGGGGCTTCAACCATCTCCCATGGAAACCTATTCCGTACCCCAGGGGTCCTAACTGTCATGAAGTACTTCCTTGGTTCCCTGGACTTTTCTCCATTGGAACACATCCTGCCCTCCACTGCAGGGGAAAAAAGGTCATGACCCACCTCTGTGTGGACTCACCCCCTTCCTGAGACTTGTTCTTCCTTTTTAGTTGTGGGGGAGAGGGAATCATTTACATCACTTACCCCCAGTGGGGGGTGTATTTCTCTGCTTTTCTGTATATTTCTATATATTCTTTTTTCTATAAATTGCTATATATTCTGTTAACCACAAGGAAGGACAGTGCTGTAGTTTCAGCATAGCAGTTTTGCAGCAATGCATGAGGCTCTTATTTGTTGAGATTTAAAATGTAACATCAGACCTTCTTTACTTCAAAAATAAAATAAAATAAACCTACCAAAAAGGCTGAATAATATGGGAGAGGTTCTGGAGCATTACAGTGTTATGAGAAGGCTCTACAAACTTGTATGAGTGAGAAATCATTTGTTGCAATTTAAAATTTAATATCAGATTGTCCTTGCTAAAAACAAAACAACACTGCATGGACTGCTGTGGGCACCGGAAAATGTCGGGTGAGTAGATTGCCACGTTAGTGTCTACCTGACATCTCTCTGAATCTTAGGCTGCAGCTCATTCAGCAAACACCAAAACATTTGCTTCGTGTCTATTGGACACCACATCTCTGTAATATGGAATTGTCTAATTTAGCTAATTGCTCATAGTGCAACACAAATAATACTTCTTTTATATATATATATATATATATTCTTCATGGAAATTAACACATGGAAGTTGAAATGGATTCTCTGTTCCCTTTTGACACCCGAAAGACTGATATTACAAAAATGGAAGGGTAAAACACTCTTTCTAAAATGCAACAGACTGAGGAGCTTATCATGCTTTTGATATAAGAGCAGGTGGCACATAGTACCAATGTCAACTAGATACCTATTTAAATATTCAGTCTGTTTTTATTTTAAGTCTGTGTATAATTACCAGAAAGTTGTATGCATTTTATACAAATCCATGTATATATACCAAATTAACAGAAATTATGATAATCATTTTAAGCGTCCCTGTGCTCCACATTGGGGAACCCTTTCATAGGCAACACTGGAGGTGTGCTGTGCCCCATGACTGTGGAATAACTAGCCATGCAGTGGCATATGGAATGTAAAATCTATCCAGAATTTGTAGGGTCTGATTTGGCTCAGTGGTTTATACTGTTGCAATAATTTTTTGAACACAACACGACACAAATAATTCTTGTGTTGTTGATTTAGGCTTAGTTTTAGGTAAGTTACTTTATGCATGGAAAAAGGAAGCATATAAATAATTTAAATCAACTAAAGACATGATCCCATCAACATGTAGTTTATTATTTATTTATTTAAAGTTTTTATATGCCGTCCCCTTGCTATATAGCCTTGGGACGGCTCACAGAAATAAACACAAAACAAATAACAAATAACAATTACAGTTAAAACCCGGAAACACAATGGATGCACAATTAAAACCTATAAATATTAAACATTATTAAAATATTGTTTGAATAAAAAGGTCTTGGCCTGGCGCCGAAAAACAAATAATGACAGCACCAGGCAGATCTCTCTGGGGAGCGCATTCCATAAATGGGGCGCCACCGCAGAGAAAGCCCTCCTCTGGGTACTCACCCTCCTAATGTCTTTCACAGAGGGTTCCCAGAGGAGGGCTTCTGCCGCCAATCTCAAGGGGCAGGAGGGCAAATATGGAAGCAGGCGTTCCTTCAAGTATCCAGGTCCCAAGCCGTTAAGAGCTTTGTAGGTTATAACCAGCACCTTGAATTGAGCCCGCACTTCGATGGGAAGCCAATGAAGCTGATAGAGGACTCGGGTTATATGAGAATAACGCCAAGTCCCCGTCAGCAACCTGGCTGCTCTGTTTTGCACCATCTGAAGTATCTGGACTGTCTTCAAGGGCAGCCCCACATAGAGCGTGTTACAGAAATCCAACCGGCAAGTAACCAATGCATGCATCACTGTCGCTAGGCAGTCGTCAGTTGAAGGAGCTGCAGCAGTGTAGTTTAATCTCACTGTGCATGGATCTGTGGGTCCATGTGAGTGTGCATGCATGGGAATATGTAGGATTTTCTCATGCAAAGGGCAGCTTAAAGACCCATGCAGTCAACCTCACCTGTATAATCTCCTGTTTCATATGCATGTCCTTAAAGGGTAGGATTGCACTGTGCTGAAGTCACTCTCATGGTGCTAAAGGTGTATGTTCAGAGCACCTGCATTGGTTGCCATAGAATTTACTTTGCTACCTTTAAAATGACAGGCTGCCTGCATTTATGATTATATACAGAAATCATATAATGTATATATGCTCCTGCAATACATCTATCATGATATCTTCTTCATGATACTAGTCAATTGTTTGTGTTTAGTCAAGCAGCACCTAATAGTTGACTTTTCCTTAGTCCACTATCTAGTATCTAGTTAGTGAGTGCAATAGCGACCTTACGCAGATATTTGATATATATGTGGGAAGGAAGAACTGGAGCCAGCTTTGCACCCTTGGCTCACTCAATGTATGTACATGGTGAAAGAATGACATCTCTGTGCACAGACCTGAAATCTGTGATTTCCACAGGTCATTTTCTGTGGCTTATTTGTCATGAGATCTGTGCCTGATCATGTAGACCTCTGTGCAGATGTTCTTCTCTATGTATAGACAACAGTTGTGTTGGATGGATGGATCCACCAGGCATGATCCCAGCCCTCTTGCCACATGTTCATCGTGCAGGGCTGTTGTCTCTCTCTCACCCAAGGCAGTTGATATACTGATTAAAGACAATGTTTTTTTAACTGAAATGTTACATGAAAGCTGAAGGTGTCTGCCTTGAGTTTCGAATCTTCAGCTGAACAGTCGAAGCCGTAGGATGTTTCATATGATGTAATACTCCATTTCTGTGCATTCAGAAGTAAGACTGATCAGTTTCAGTGTGGCTTAATCCCAAACAGGTCTGCTTAAATTGTTAATAACCATGTTGATGATTGATGATTTAAAACTATGTTGGGTGCTCTGTTGGGCAGAATTAGATATAAACTGAAAATTAGTAAAATAATCATGACATATTTTATGTAAGAAAGGAGAGCATTAGGGGCCTTAAGATTCCCTATTAACAAGTTTATAATTTTCCCCATGTTGTGAGATGTCTTACATTTCTATTTAAACTTTAGCAATAATTTTTAAATTGTTGTAGCTATATATACATTAGCATTTAGAAATGTTACACACATTGGCGTCCTTTTCTGCCCTCTTTTTTAGTGATGAATGCATTTCCTTTTTTGGGTGATGCACAAATGAGTCTGAGATGCAGTGTACTACGTCATATGTTTCAAAATGGTTTCCTACAACTGGGACACATTGACTAGATTCAGTCAACACAAATATTCAGGGGATGTACTGTTGTTGTACCAT